TTTTTTTTTTTCCTTTGGCCTAACAACTAGTTCTCACAAACCTCTGTCAATACCCTTTACATGTTACGCTGAACTGTGTTCACTCCACAGCCAAACAATACTTGCACTGACGATGTAGACGATTTAAAGACTTCTGCAAAATGCTCCCCGTTTACCCTAAAATGAAATCTAACCGCAATTGTAAAAGCTCAGATCCCTCCAGTAGGTAGTAGCAAAAGCTGGACATACTTTTTGCAACTCGATTGATAATACTGAATTTTTCAGCTGATCTTTTCAGCTCCTCCTATCGTGTTTAAAACACAGCCCAATACCACCGATTAAGTTATGTAACCCATCGCCAAACTTTCCAATGCTTTATTTGGACTATTATCAGTTACACTTTTACAACAATTACATTAAAAGTTCGAGCCCTTTTCCAAAATGACTCATCTTGAGAACCACCGCTTCCAGTCTGAAGTGTCTCGAAAAAATGATGTCTCTCAACTAACGCTTACTTAGTAATAAACTTCCCACTAATTTCCTTATCCCTCAAAACCAGGTTCTTTCTGACAACTGGTAACCCTCTAACACGGTGAAAAGCATTAAAATGATTTAAAAATTTACACACAGAACCTCCTTAAACGTCTCAATGTTTCTTTGACTGGTTTGTGCACACGTACAGGGATAGTCTTTACAGCCTTTCTCTTTAAACTTTAAAGCGTCAAAAATAGATTTATACACACATTACACGCTTATATACACAACCCTATCTTAAACATTTTTTGCAAATAAGTCTTCCAAAAAAGAAATGTGAAAATAACTTAAAGCCGAGAAAGCTGACTTAGACAAGCTTCAGGAAAAAAAAAAAACAAGAAAAGAGCAGCCCTTTTCACTTTCCAAGAAACAATGATTGCAAAAAAAGCGAGCAATGTTTAAAAATGCGAAAAAAGAGAGAAGACCAATAGCGACACAAGTTTTTCTCTGACCACTGAACTTGAAGATAAACTTATCTCAGTCAAGACTTTTAAATACCCCACTTCAAACCTTCTAACCTCATCTTGCCGCTCCTGAGTCTCCCTTGCAAACTCTCATCGCTATTTGGCACACAACAGATTTACTTTTCTGCAGTTGCAAAACCTAACGACTTCCTAAAATCTGTTTTGAGACTCCAGGTTAGAACAACGTAGTATCCCTTCGAGCTCGCTGCTAATTTCACCCTCATATGGGTTACTTTTCCGCGTGCGCCTAGATCACCCGATCTTCATGTATATGACTTAATACTTCTTTTAAAAGGCTTCTTCCGCCCAGCTATACTTAGCATTTGATTAATTTCTTAGTAAAACGCAAGTTTCCTTAATTTACTCACTTCTCTGAATGTAAATGGACAAAACACTTCCTGTTGAAACTTTATTAATCAATCTAGCTTTAACAGTGTTACTGCTGACCTAAAAATCTTTTGAATCATCATTGAGAATGTGAAGACATTTACTTTAAGATCAAGTGACAGACGCACGCGCAGCGAAGTACTCTCGATGAGCTCAAACCGAGCAGTAGGTCACATGCTGAAAACATTTTAAAATATCCATTTCTTTCATTAGATTTTGAAATAGACTCCGGGCAGCTTTTAGACTTTGTGACTACTCAATAACAATTCAGAGGAAGTTTGAGAAAGAGATCTTTAAGACACCAATCAGAGTACAATGAAAAAAAATTCAGAATTATCGCAAAATAGTCATTGCGCTTAAACATCAGAATTTCAAGCAAACTTGCTAATATTAGTACTCTTTATACTTACAAACGTGTCACCACGCTTAGTTTTTTCCTTGTTTTACATCCACGAGGATGGGAGTACATATTGTGGTTCCTTCTCTTCCTTCTTCGGTACTCCTTTATGGTCGAAGAACAAAATAAAAAGCACCGTAGCAATCCTCAATCTTTTTTTAGCCTACCTTCCAATTTATCTTCATTGAGAAAACTCTTTTAGACACAGGCTAGCTGTCACTTTCCGCAAATAATTGGTAAGACAACGATATTAAGAAAAATTGCTTTAATTCTTTGTACCAATCATTTACTTGCATCTTCAAATTTGATGCTTTTTCCAAACTTCCGAATCCCGCTGCAGTTTCCTTTAACAAGCTCTTCCCTTACTTTCTCCGCCTCTCCCTAAATAAAAGATCAATGAAATTGCAGAGTAAATAACAAACTGTAATTTTCAAATATTATCAAATATTCTTGGAAATCACCATTAGCTCAGCCAAACGTGGATGAAGTGATTGTATATTGTGCATTTCTTCTTGTTTTACCCCACGCCGAATTTTTATCGGTTCCCCAACAGGTTTATGACGATCACAGACAATAAGGTACGGCTTAGCAAATTCACGCGCTTTAGCTAGTTCTCCGACTGCGTATCCTTCAAGGAACCAAACTATCAGTGGTGAAAAGAAAATGTAATTTTCAAAGTGACAAATACAGCATTAGCGCAAACCTGTGACTTCTTCAACAAAATCATCGGGTCCAAAAACAAAAGAGAATACAGCTGCAGCCAGTACGCTTGACTCAAAAACTAAACTTTCATAATCCAAAATACACATGTCCAAAACCTAGATAAAAAATTGTTTTTTTACCTCCCTGAATTGACCTTTATTAAGCGACAAGTAAAGACAAAAAAAAAGATTATAAAAATTAATGCAAGATTAACAGTCTGTCATTGATTATTTTGCCTGAAATTTGTGACCAACAACTTCGGTATCGTTATTTAAAGTTTTCAACTCCTCACTTTCTTTAAAATTTATCCTGTGCAATCTGACACTAAACTAACACTGAATGCAAGTGAGCATTATAAATCCTACCCAAAATCATACATTAAAAAACGTGGCTTTGATTAGAATACCTAACTTCTCTCTTCAAATATAACTAATTTTAGATATTGGCCTCACTTTAGCAAGATGCAAAAACTCAAGTCGTGGAAAAGTTGAAGTGGCTAGAATAGAGTCCTGACAGCTCCCTACGGTGTTCTCATTCGACTGATTTAAAGACGGGAGTCTATCGACAATTACCGTCTCTGAGCCAGTGAGCTGCATGAAGATTTTTAGCCAGTGTAAAGGTGTTATGGGATTCACTTGCCATTCCAAATCCTAAACTTGTCCAAAGTTCAAACATTTAATAACTTCAACTATTCAGAAAAAAAAACAAATACAAGCATCACCGGAAAAATCAGGAATCAGCACCACACTCAACAGATATGAACTCACATGAAGCATTATCAATTCACACTTGCGAAGATCATCCTCATCATAAGCACCATCCCCGTAATCAACAAAGACACTCAGTCTAGGCGGCTCGACTTCCTAAATAAATGATAGTCTGTGGCACTAACTTTGGTAAAGGTACAAACGACTCATAATCTGCAGTCTCAAGAAAGTCAAAAGTAGATTTAAAACAAAGTAAAGTTTCCTTAATTCGTTCCAAAAGCAACAAATTCAAAATGATGCAGGAGATGACAAGCAGAAGAAATCTGGAAACTGAACTTCGTTTTTCTACAACCGTAGCAAATCAAAAAGATGCAGAAATAGCTTTAAAAGCAGTAGTGAACCATTGAAAAGTGCACCCCAAAACTAAGGAACCAAAGGCCTAGATATTCACCCTAGTGAACGTCACAGAGAGAGTGATACATCCTAAGAAAATTTTGACAAACAAAAATCAGAAAGAAAAAAGACTTCTGCTTGACCCTATAAATTCCATATAATGTTAGAAAAGACCTCATTTTTTGCAGCCAGGAACAATGCCGTAGCTCCAACTAACTGAAAGCTCGATTTACGAACGTCTCTGTGTACAGAGAAGAATCTATCAATGTAATCGACTGCTAGGTAAAAGGACTCCCTTCCTAATGATAAATCGTCGCAAACCTAAAAAAAAAGAATAAAAATGGTAACGATGTATAAAAAATAAAATGAATAATGGCACATTGTAAAGCTCATCAAGAATAAACAAAGAAGATAAATTATCATATAAAATTTAATAATTCAGTTGTACTAAAATTTTACTTCCATTAGCCATTCAAGAAGGATAAATCGCATCTGCTTTGTCAATTCGGGATGATTTTCTGTCCAGTTCGGATTCTTATGATACACTTTGCTTTTGTTACAAAGAACATCCCAGAACTGCAAGAATTAAAAGGAGGTTCGTACGAGAACATCAAAAAACAAATATCTACTCTCTCGTCTTCTTGTTCTACAGAACCCTGATGGAATTGATAGAAAAAAGAAAAAGAAGGGAGAGAATATTATTCCTTACAGCCATGATTTCAAAGATGATCTATCAGTTCAAAATAAACAAAGTGCACCGAGTTAACCAGCTCTATAACTACCAAAACAATTAATTTTAAAAGTGATTGAAGCAAACTTTAAAAACTTTTTCACAAACCTTCTGAGGTGATCCCCATTTTTCAACTCTTAGTTGTGGGGGAGGGGAGTGGGAGAGGGTGCTGTTCCGGTCTAAAAACTTCGGAAACTGGCGTAAACTACCACGCACATCTGAAGAAGCATTATTTTCACTGGCTATAATCTGTTTAAAAGGGGTATTATGGTGTCAATCACGCAATGCTAATCATCGCGGTAAAAGTCATCACGGCTCTAAAATATTTCTTAAAACACCTTTTAAGCCTCGCAAGCCTTAATGCGCCTAAAATTTCGTAAAATTACAATGTTAAAGTAGTTGATAGTTTTAAACTGTCAAAGCCACATTCAATTAATCAAACATTATTCGTTGTTACCTTTTTGAACAGAAGGAAATTTAAAACTGGATCGCCCAAAATATATCAATAGATTTAAAAATTTTTGTGTGGTCTTACTTCCAAAATATAATTCACTAACTTTTTGTCAACATCGGCGGCGATAAACTGTCTTCACCACCAATGGATGATGAGGGAGAGGCCAACTGAATTTCGTCTTCATGAATTGAGTGTCGACTCAAAGCTGCTGACGAGGAGGGACTAGCACTTGATGACGAAGATGCAAATACACCTTCCATTTTTGATGAAGCAGAAGTTTCACAAACAGAAAAGCTTTCTTGCATCGTTTCTGGTGATTTGCCTTTTTTCCAGCGTTTTTTAGTTTTAGAACAGCGGTCCAGTTGTGATTCCGAGTGTGAACGTTTTGGCTTTGACCTCATCCTAAAAAATCTCTGTAAGAAAATCTTTTATACCCGTTGTGTAAAACACACAACCAATGTGTTAACGTATACTTGAAGGCGAGGTTAAACAGCAAAGCGAACGCAGAACGGAGCCACACTACAAAAGAAAGAAAAAGTGGCCTAATTTAAAAATGTATGAATCAAAAAATACAGAATGGTGCTGATCAGATTCAAATTTGCCCAGTTATCACTTTCAAAATTGACGTGCCAAAAAAAATCAAATCAAAGCGAAAAAAATGGCGCACAACGATAAATACTATTCCGTAAA